GTTGTTTTTCAGGAACTTGGGCCAGCTCCTGTCCAGTTCAAACCGGTTAAGGTCACTGGCTCTTCAACTAGGCCTCCACAAGTGCCTGAGAAATGGCCTTCTGATGTCAGAAGACCAAAAATGACACCTCAGATCATGCTAATGCCACTATTTTTGGTTTATATGTCCTATGTAATGTCATGAACCCTGGCTATGCTTGCCCAGAATAAACCTGTTACTTTTTTCCCCACTGTCAATCACTTTTTCCCATGCCTTAGACCACCCCATTTCCCTAACCCATAAATATAGCTAAGCCTTATCTTTGGGAAGGTGGATTTGAGAGCTGTTCTCCTGCTTCCTTGCTTGGCAGCCTTGTGAATAAATCTTTTCTCTTTTGCAAAACCTGTGTCACAGTGATTGGTTTACTGCATGCAAGCAGAACAAATCTAGATCTAAAGTTGGTAACAAAATAATGTCATAAAAACCAGATGATTAGTCTGATGGTCTAAATATAGCTTAATGGATTAGGCCTTAAAAGGAACTTAAAGATTACCTCATGTCTAATACTTTCATTCATAAATTGTAAGACATTGGCACCACTCTAGGATTCAGGGACCTGGACAATCAGATGAATTCTGGTGAATAGTTGTTCAGGATTTGAGGGCCACCTCCTCCCCCAACACAAATACAGGCCTACCATTGTTGGGAGGTCCATACAGATGATTTGTGGCATCCATGGTCTGCAGTTGAAGTGGGCAATGGAACACTTCCCTGGGGTCACAGACTGGTTGAATGTCCTAGAGCCTCCCAGGGCTTAACACAGTACTCAGACATTCAGCAAGATCCCAGTTGACAAAAAAAAAAAACAAAACAAAAAACAAAACAAAACAAAATACATTCGCAAGAACACATTGAAGGAAAGTCTCCAATTTCTAAACGTTCTAGGATAGGAAGAGACTCTCCGTTCTTTCCTCTTTCTAATGATGGCTCAAACGGCTCCTCATCCTGTTTCAAATCCGTCCTTTCTTTCAATCAATTTTCTATCTTTAACATTCTTATGACTATTTATTTGTATGTTATTTGATAAGTTTCCTAGTCATTCCCTTTGCTAATATTTCTATTCATGAACCTATATTATTCTTATTGATTTGTAAATGAACTATTCATATGTTGAAATGTAGATATCAGCTGAGATCACTCTGCCCTTTAATATTTGGGGCACAATGAATTGTATCTCCTTTCATGGCCATTGGACTTACGCTGTACCTTCCTCAAGATTTGTGAAAATTGACTTTCCCAAGGTTTGCAAACACTCTTCAGTTTTTCTCGTCACATCTCTCATAGAAGGAGAATTTGATCCCACCTGAAACAGGTAAGTTTACATATTGTTTTGCCACCACGTCATGCAATATATATATTATAGCATGTAGAGCCAGATAAATAATCTAGGTTCTTTCCTTAATATCTTCTAAAAAATGCACAAAGTATCATATATGTTTTGGACTTTACTCAAGATTTGGGTAATATTTACATCCTTGTTCACCAGAATTCTCCACTGGGAAAAGGAGAAAGCTAAGGGTGGGATGTGACGATCTCCTTTGTCCTAGAATATTGACTTTTGATCTGCTATAAATGTCATGTACAGTTTTCCTCTATTTTGGTTTGCACTTTGATTTTATATATGGCATTTTTTGCAACATAATTTTTGATGTATTCCAATTTATCGGTATTTTCCTTTAACTTTTCTGCCTTTGATATATTTCAAAAATGCTTTCCCTTTCATGTGTATTCATGTATATTTTCTTATAGTATTTTTATAGCATTATTTAATTTTTAAATTTTTTTTTTAAAAAGCAAGATTTGTTTTGGAAATATGATTTAAGATTAAAATGTAACCTTTTCCCCCCAGATAATTAACTAAGATTATTAGATATTCCAAAATTGTAAAAATCAGAAAATGATCGAGTACTGTTAATAGAAATGTAATGTAAGCCACACATGTAATGTAAAATGTTGTTATAGTCACACTAAAAAAGTAAAAAGAAAGCCAGTGAAATTAATTTTAATAATATATTTTATTTAACCTAATATATTCAAAAGATTATCATTTCATTGTGTGATCAACATCAAAAGCTTTCTCAGTTAACTTTTTTTGGTATGTAATAACTGTATATGGGGTACAGAGTGACATTTTAATACCTAGAAGTGATCAAATCAGGGTGATCAGCATATCTGTCACCTCAAACATTTATCATTTCTGCTATGAACATTCAAAATCTTCTTTTCTAGCTTTTCAAAAATATATAAGAAATTATTGTTAACCACATTTACCCTACAGTGCTATGAAACACTAGAAATTATTTATTCTATCCAATTATAATTTTGTATCCATTAACCAACATTTCCCTACTGCCCGCTCCCCACTACCCTTCCCAGCCTCTAATAAGCATAATTCTACTCTATTTCTGTGAGCTCAATTTTTTTAGCTTCCACATGTAAGCAAGAATATATGGTGTTTATCTTTCTGTGCTTGACTTACTTAACATAATGTCCTCTAGGCTCATCCATGTTGCTGCAAATGACAGAATTTCCTTCTTTTTTAAGGCTGAATAGTATTTCATTTTGTATATATACCACATTTTCTTTATCCATTGATCTATTGATAGACATTGAAGTTGATTTCATATCTTGCTCTTCTGAATAGAGCTACAATAGACATGGAGGTACAACTACCTCTTCCATACATTTATTTCCTTTGTTTTTGATAAATGTCCAGTAATGGGATTGCTGGACCATACTTGACAACAACAAAACAAATAATCTGATTTTAAAATGGGCAAAGGATCTGAATAGACATTTCTCCAAAAAAAGACATACAAATGGCCAACAGGTATATGAAAGAATGCTCAACATCACTAATCATCAGGAAAATGCAAATAAAAACCACAATGAGATATCATCTTACCCCAGTTAAAATGGCTATCCAAAAAATAGAAAATAACAAATGCTGGTGCAGATGTGGAGAAAAGGGAATTCTTATACACTATTGGTGGGAATGTAAATTACTACAACCACTATGGAAAACAGTATGGAAGTTTTCAAAAACTTAAAAATACAACATCAAATGGTATTAATATTTCAAAACAAAAGAATAAAAAATAAAACAGAAAAAGAAGAGGCGGGTGGATCAGTTGAGGTCAGGAGTTTGAGACGAGCCCGGCCAACATGGTAAAACCCCGTCTCTACTAAAACTACCAAAAATTAGCCGGACATAGTGGCAGATGCCTGCAATCCCAGCTACTCCAGAGGCTGAGGCAGGAGAATCGCTTGAACCTGGGAGGCAGAGGTTGCAGCGAGCCGAGATCGTGCCATTGCACTCAAGACTGGGTGACAAAAGCAAAAGTCGGTCTCAAAAAAAAGAAAACAAAACAAAAGAAAACAAAGTTCACAATATTTCATATTCTTTTTTTTTACTCAATCACTAAAATGTAATACGTATTTTACACTTACAACACATGTTAATTCAGCCTATCCACAATTCCTGTGCTCATTAGCTATATGTAGCTAGTAGCTACTGTATTGAATAGCACAGGCTTAGAGGAAGGTTTCTCACTCTAGGCACGATTGACATTTTGGATCTGATAATTCTTTTTTTCTCTTTTTTTCTTTTTTTGAGACGGAGTCTCGCTCTGTCACCCAGGCTGGAGTGCAGTGGTGCAATCTCAGCTCACTGCAAGCTCCGCCTCCTAGGTTCGAGCAATTCTCCTGCCTCAGCCTCTTGAGTAGCTGGGACTATAGGCGCCTGCCACCATGCCTGGCTAACTTTTGTATTTTTAGTAGAGATGAGGTTTCACCATATTGGCCAGGCTGGTCTCAAACTCCTGACATTGTGATCTGCCTGTCTCGGCCTCCCAAATTGCTAGGATTACAGGCGTGAGCCACCGTGCCCTGCCAGACTTGATAATTCTTTGTCGCGGGCTCTTGTGCACTGTGTGTGATTAGCTACATCCCTGGTCTCCACCCTGTAGATGACAGTAGCAATTCTCCTCCAGTTGTTGCAACTGAACATGTCTGTAGACATTGACAAATGTCTCAGTGGGAGTGGGGCAAAATTGTCTCCAGTGGAGAGCCAAAGGTCTAGAAAAACTGGGGAAAAAATACTTGTGTGAAATGAGTCTTAGGATGATCTGAGAGGAAATTTTCATTTTAGAACCGAACACTGAACCATGACAGTAATACTTATAACAATTAAAAGTCTATCCAGTTCCCATGTTTTAAATTCACAAAAAGGAGAAAGAAGAGAGGAAGAGGAGGGGTGGCAGAAGGAGAGAGAAATGAGAAGAAGGAGAAGACAGAAAAGGAGAAGCCTCTTTTTATATACCTTTGTGCTTATTTTGGGCCCCTATCCACAGAAAAAAATAATGACCCAGCATTGAACCCACTTTGGTGGCTGGCATCAATATGTAATTATTTCAAAAACCCTGAGGATCTTGACTTTGAAAACAAGCCAGTGCTTGGGTTGCAACATGCCTCAGACAATGACTGTGGGTTCAGGTTGTTGGGGACACCCAGTGTTCTCAATCCTAGAACTTCTTACTTCAAATAACAGCATTGTATATCAGAAGCAATAAGATGCCAAACTCTGGGTGCACTGATCTGTTCCAAAGTCTCTCTTATCAACCAGGACCTTGGTAATTGGAAGCCTCAGTTAAGTACACGATGTTTTTGAAGTCCTTAACTTTGTATATGTATATATATAAAGTCTACATAAACATATATAACTTCATATATAAAGAACTTTGAAAACATATATATATAAGCTTTATACATATATTAAGGACTTTGAAAAAATTAAATATATGTGTGCGTGTGTGTGTATATATATATATACACACAAAAAAAATCAAAATTATAGCAGATTAATTCAAGGAAAGAAAGAAAAAAATGGGGAAGGGCTGAAGGGAAGAACTGAATCAAGAACATATCTTGGAAAACCTAACACTTGTTATAATCTTATCCACCTGAATTTATATGTGTCTACACAATATTCAGAATGTTGACTTTTAGGTACAAGAAGATCCTGAATCATCAAAAAATAGCCTGTTGTTTTCACTCTACTTCACAGTTTTTTTAAGTTTCTTTAACAGCAAGAGCTAAAAGCTAAACGGTTTCTAGTTGCCCCTTGGTTAATAAGAACATTACACTAACCAGGAGTTTCCACTCCTCAAGTGTTCTAGCTCATGGGGGATTTACTTCAACTGAGCTCATTTGAAGATACTAAGAGTCTAGCTGTTGAGCTTCTACACTAGGTACTCTAGGTACAGCAGACAACAATCTGTGTCATTCCAAGTATCTTCCCAGGGACACTTAGGACTATTGGTATAGGAGGAATCGTTCAAGTGGCTCCGGCAGACGTAGCTTGTGGATGGCTTGATGACATGCTCGACCGAGACACTTCCGGACACACAGGCGGCAGAGCTGCGAAAGAGCAGGTGGGCCTGAGAGAGAAATGAAAATGGTGTTAACTTCATAGTGGTGGGAGATGGTGTGGAAGGGGGAAATCAGAGAACTGGAAGAGGGGAAACTTTCTAAAAGCAGAAGAGAAGCTGGATCTGTATAGGAACTATAGAATGATGTAGCAGACACTAAATACAGGCAGCGGATCCCGATTTGCCCCTCTGGAAGGGATGCATTTCTTTAAGGTGATCTTCCAAGGGTACTTAGATTACCAATGTTGAAGAATGAGGCTAACCAGAGGCAAGTTAGGAATGCAGTGTGGGGTCTAAAGGGAATGCATCTCATTAATGTATTGAATGTGCCAATGAAAGTAATACACTGGGCCAGGCGCAGTGGCTCACGCCTGTAATCCCAGCACTTTGAGAGGCCCAGGCGGGCAGATCACGAGGTCAGGAGATCGAGACCATCCTGGCTAACACCATGAAACCCCGTCTCTACTAAAAAAAATACAAAAAATTAGCTGTGCGTGGTGGTGGGCACCTGTAGTCCCAGCTACTTGGGAGGCTGAGGCAGGAGAATGGCGTGAACCTGGGAGGCAGAGCTTGCAGTGAGCCGAGATGGCGCCCTTGCATTCCAACCTGGAGACAGAGTGAGACTCCATGTCAAAAAAAAAAAAAAAAAGAGTGCACATTCTGGGGTCAGATGGCTCAGAATCTTACCTAATTCTATTATGTAGCTAGCTGTGTGACCTTGCCTATGCTTTTCTTTTCCCATTTGTACCTGGCATAGCAACCAGCTACTACCGTATAAAGTTCCCACTGCTCTAAAGTTTTAAAAATTCAGTGAGATTGATCTATGTTTCAAATTTAGCCCAGTGCCTAGCACACGTAAAGCTGAATAATGATAATTGTCTTTAATATTCTCCAAGCACACAAATAATCAATATAGGCTCAAAATATTTTCTTACTGTATAGATGTAAGAAGTTCTCTTCTGAATTTCAGATGCTCGCCTTACCTCTTCTGGCATCACAGTTGCTCTTAATGCCCATGGTGGAAATGGGAATGAAGCAATGAGGTTTGCAGACCCACCTACTCCCTGATCTGGGAAACAGGCACGCAACCTCACCATTTAGTCGGGTTTCTGAAATACTCTGTGTCCTCCCCTACTGACTCTGACTCAAGTCTTTTGAATTTGCCATCAGATTGTCTCCCAACATTACAAAGAGTTTTGGTTTGCTCAATCATATGCTTATGCCAGGACAGAAATGGAAATTCAAGATTTTTGGGGTAAAAACAAGGTTTTCTGGTTTTCTTTTTTTGAGACGGAGTCTCGCTCTGTTGCCCAGGCTGGAATCCAGTGGTGGAATCTCGGCTCATCTCAACCTCCGCCTCCCAGGTTCAAGCAATTCTCCTGCCTCAGCCTCCTGAATAGCTGGAACCACAGACACCAGCGACCACACCCAGCTAATTTTTGTATTTTTAGTAGAGACAGGATTTCACCATGTTGGTCAGGCTGGTCTCCAACTCCTGACCTTGTGATCCATCCGCCTTGGCCTCCCAAAGTTCTGGGATTACAGGCGTGAGCCACCACACCCGGCCGGTTTTCTGGTTATTTTCTTGTTATGGAAAATACAAAGCAACACTCTGGTTATATGTAAATGCCCCTTGGTTTTTAGTGAATATACACAGCATATAAAATCCCAGAAGACAGGTCAGTGACAGCAGGGCTTGTCGCCTCCCACAATGCCACCTTCAATTAAAAAGAAAAAGGAAAGAGAAAGGAAAAAGAAAAAAAAAGAAAGAAAAAAAAAGGAAAAAGAATAAAAGAAAAGAAAAAGGAAAAAAAATGCTATAGATGAGACAGGAAGGGGAGAGAATGTGCTTATGGAAGAAGAATGGATACCCAGCCCTTGGTTACCTTCACGGAGCAAGAGCGCCTGCTCCACGCTGCTTTTTGGAGCCGCCAGATCAAGCGCACTTTTGCCCTGAGCATTTCTACGCTTCAGGTTAGCTCCATAGTCGGTTAGCAGGTGGATGACCTCCACGTTGGACTGCCTTGCTGCAGCATGGAGTGGGGTGTCCAGCCACTGGCCATGGTCGACACTGGCTCCTTAACAAAACAGATGGCCACAATTCAACACTAAATGGTAATGTAAAGCACAATGAGCTTCAAATATAGTAATTGCATATAAAGACATTTTAAGTACCATGACATATTTGACAAATCTTTGAAAACATGTGATTTAAGCCTAGAACCTCAGCAATGCCTACTAAGACTACTTGAAATTATTTGGTGAGAAAAGTGAATTTAGATATTTTTAATTATTTTAAATATTTGCTTTCCCATACAAACTGTGTGGCATACAAAATAAAGTATTTGAGGCTCTTGTTACATAGTTATTATGTTTGGGGGAAAAAGATAAAGCTAAGTTTATTTAGTATTTATATTATTTGGGGCTCAAGAAATGATTTCTGAACTTACTACAGAGAATAGTAAATGATGGGAAGTAAAAAAGACAAAAACTTCCTCAAGATAAAAATTCACAATAAAGGTTTTTACTACAATCTCCACCTTTATGTCAGGGGCTAAGTTTGTTGAATCTTTAGTCAAATAATAGTTTCAAGATATTTCATTTTTCCAGCCAAGCACAGTGGCTCACACCTGTAATTCCAGCACTTTGGGAGGCTGAGGTGGGTGGATCACCTGTGGTCAGGAGTTCAAGACCAGCCTAGCCAACATGGTAAAACCCTGTCTCTACTAAAAATACAATAAATTAGCCGGGCGTGGTGGTGTGAGCCTGTAATCCCAGGTACTCAGGAGGCTAAGGCAGGAGAATCGCTTGAACCCTGGAGGTGGAGGTTGCAGTGAGCTGAGGTCACGCCATTGCACTCCAACCTGGGCAATAAGAGCGAAACTTCATCTCAAAAACAGAAAAAAAAAAAGAAAAAGATAGTTCATTTTTCCACAGACTCTCGGTTTCTGTATATGCCTTTTAGAATTGCTTTTAAAATGACTAGATACTGTAGCAGGATAGATATAAACTAGCCTGTAGCAAATGTCTGTTGTTTTTACTGTCCAGCATCTTCCTGGCAAGCATACCTAGATTTCCTGAAGGGAAACCACCCTCTTGTGAGTTTCAGTTCTTGTGCTTCCAGTGAAGCCTAATAAATGCAGAGTAGGTTGAAATCTAGGCCTAAACCAATCAATGTATTGTATTTCCTTGGCTCCCATGAGGGGTTCAAAGATGGGCATGTGACTCAAAAAGAGCCAATGCTCTTTCTTGCTGTGTATGGATAAGGAGGGCTGTAAGCCCAGGTATTGCTGGCAGCCATCTTGTGACAACCAGGGAGAACAATACCAGGTAAATGGAGTTAACATCAAAGAAAGCAGGACTGAGAAATACAGTCATTTCTCTAGAGAAGTTTTGTTTTTAGCATTCAAACATAAAATGCTAACCGAATATTTTTCAACCATGACAAGAACTTCATCTTTGAAGCTACAGAAAACCAACAAAGTTAACAGGTTTTTCATGAAAATAATTTTGGAAATTACCTAATTCTAGAAGTTTCTTCACACAGTCTACCCTCTGGTAGGTGCACGCCACATACAGGGGAGTTCCAAGCTGAGGCACCTCATGGTCAATGTTAACATTATTTGCCAGCAGGATCTCCATGCACTCTCTGTGACCTGGTGGAACACAAGATACCCTCACTCAAGTAAGGGACATATTAAATATTCACAGAATTATAGGATTGCTTATCTGAAATGGGCTTTAGAAATAACTTAGGTTGGCCAGGTGCAGTGGCTCAAGCCTATAATCCCAGCACTTTGGTAGGCTGAGGTGGGTGGATCACCTGAGGTCAGGAATTCGAGACCAGCCTGGCCAACATGGTGAAACCCCATCTCTACTAAAAACACCAAAATTAGCCAGGCATGGTGGCACACGCCCGTAATCTCAGCTACTCGGGAAGCTGAGGCAGGAGAATCGCTTGAACACAGGAGGTGGAGGTTACAGAGAGCTGAGATCGCGCCGCTGCACCCCAGCTTGCCTGACAGAGCGAGACTCTGTCTCAAAATACATAAATAAAAAAATAAGTAACCTAGATCTCTTTTTGCAGTAGAAAAAAAAAATTTTGTTTGTTTTTGGAAATCTTAGGTAGAAACCCCCAAAATAATACCAATAAAAAGAGGAGCATGGCCATGCTTCCCCACTCCAGCTTCTCTTTGCAACCCGATTTAACTTTAACTAAACTAAGGGCTCCAAGTAGCACAGTTGAAATCACTCTCCAGAATGATGCCACCATTTTACAAATGGAAGTGACAAGACCCAGAGGGACAAACGACTAGGCCTATTATTACTCTGAAAAGCTAGTACTCAAACCCGAGAGAACCCTGTCCCCTCTCCATTACAAATCTCTCATTCTCTTCTTTATCCATGATGTGAGATCGGATATATGGCCTGCAACTTTATTTTGGTTAGTCTGGAAAATACCTATGAGAAAGAATAAAGAAGTCTTACGTGTAGAATATATTTAAATACACTTTCAAATTCAGTGGCTAACAACAACTATGTAAGCAAGCATTCTCTTTTGAGAGTTTGCCCAATAAATAGATAGACATGATTAATTTGCAACCTGTGAATGCTTCGTTCAGGAGAGCGTGCTTCTGAGGTATTGATGGGAGCTTGCAAAGAGTTAGTTCTCTTTGAAGATTTAAATGTCTCCCTAAAAAAATCATGTCATTACTAATTAATTTAGCCAACCTATTCTTTGCCGATAACATAAAAGTAAGCTTCATTTTAGACCTACCTGATTTATCACAAATTCTAAATTAAGTATAAATATGCATTAAAATGTACAAATCAGGACTGTCAATTCAAACTATTTGTTCACATAATTAAATATTATACCTGGATTACAGCATCAGTATGTCAAGGTATTGATTCAAACTATGACTTAGCTTGTTCATAGAGGTTTAGAGCTATAAGAATCCAGAAATAATATCTAGTAAGTCCCTAAAACTACTTGGAAAATACAGGGTATTTAACACATATTTTTGAATAATTCTTGTCTTTTTTTTGAAGAACAAGAAACAGCCTAGTTTGAGTTAAATTTAAATATTCTCAGAAAGTTTTAAAAATGAATACAGAAAAGTTAAATGGCTAGCACTAATAGAAAGTGTATAAAATAATGAATTTGCTAATCATGCTTCCATTCTGTGGATATTTATCTTTAACATGCTTTTACAATACAGAAAAATATACAGAAACACACAAAGTATGTGTTTATTACGAGCATATATATGTTTTATAGGCACACAGATACCAAAAGCTCCAAATATAATCAGCCAAGCACTGCAGACATACCTAATTAATTCAAACCATTCCCAATACTTATCAATTTTTAAACATTTGTACGGAAATACAAATAATATTAATTTTTACTTCAAACATTTATATCAAATCAATATTAAATTTTTAATAAAGACTTTTTGTAATACCAGCACTTTGGAAGGCTGAGATGGGTGGATCACCTGAGGTCAGGAGTTCGAGACCAGCCTGGCCAACATGACGAAAGCCTGTCTCTACTCAAAAATACAAAAATTAGCTGAGCACTGTGGCAGGTGCCTGTAATCCCAGCTACTTGGGAGGCTGAGGCAGGAGAATCGCTTGAACCCCGGAGGTAGAGGTCGCAGTGAGCCAAGATTGTGCCACTGCACTCCAGCCTGTGAGACAGTGTGAAACTCTGTAAAAAAAAAAAGAAAGACATTTATATCGTTTCCAAAGTAGTTCATTACTCTACAAATTAAAGGACTTACATGATGTTTGGGAAATGACTAACATCAGCTATTATTTAATAAATGTGTATTAAATACATTTAGAACATAAAATACATAGATAAATTTAGATTTGGGTCTTTTGAATCATTTAAGGTAATCCACTGGAAAAAAACTTGGCAAGTGACATGTTTAATAACCTGGAACAAATCTTTCACTTTTGCCTTTTGAAATAAAGTATTTCATCCCAAATTACACCAGCAAAGATCACTATTCTAGAGTGTTTTAACTTCATCATTGTATTTCTGATCTCAGTTAAGAGAACAACTCCCTCACTGGCTATCATCAAAATGTCACTCTTTGGGTGTGTGACCTTTGACAAATGGCCTTGTCCTTTCAGTGGCATCTTCTCCTTCATGTCTAGTCTGTGCATATAGTTTTTAAATTCCTTGAATTTACTATTTTCCTTCACTTTGAAATTAACTGACAAGACAGGAGTCTGGAGTCAGCTTCAAGATTTCCAATGCTATACTTTGGAAAGTTGCAGCCTTTTCTTTCCGATAATTATGACTTTGAAGTCATCAGTCCATCTAGATTGTGTAACTTATTATGAACAGTTACATTTACTATTCCATTAGAGATAGTATCAGCCTTGGGTTTCAGATACTTTCATAGTTTATTTTAGGTTAGTGGTTGGTATTTTATGGACTTTAGAGGATAAGCTATTCTCGCCTACCAAGGACAGAGACATAAGCATAGTACAATTCAAGTAAGTCACAACTACTGCCTTGGCTGTACCAGCTGCCACCAAAACACCAGCAAAGAGGCTCTGGAAAGGTCTGCCAACAGACCATCCCCAGGAAATGGGACATCTGAGTCAGGAAAGCATTCCGAAGTTATAAGTAGAGTTCTTTGTGCCACACTGGTATTTCCTGAAGATTTAGACAAATTGAAGTTACTGCTGTGGGATTTCTAGGCCACACATATTCTAATGGTGAGGAAGATCAGGGTCACCCTTGAATGACTAACACTAGACCATTGATTCATACAGATTAGAGTGAGCCCATCAATGTTTCACATGCATTGTGGTGGCTCATGTACCTCTCTTCACTGCCTCATGGATGGGCGAGGCCAGGTGCACCTCAAACTGGGCCTTGGCTCCAAACTCCAGCAGCACATTGACACATGCAGCACTGCCGCTGCAGCAAGCATTGAAGAGGGGCGTGGCTCCGTGAACTGTCACTCCATTGACCTAATGACGGGCAAAGAGAGAGCCAGAGGATTTGTTATTTCATTCTCACCATCTCCAAGTATGTCTTCCTGTGTATTTGCCTAGAGGAATTCCCCGCGCTGGTGAATAAGTGAGGGAACTCCACATCTTTACAGTATTATGAAACTTCATGAAGTTATTGGGTGGATTGAGCGAGTTACTATATGTTAAACACTTAAAACATTATGTGTCGCCCAGTAAGCACTCAATAAGCATTTGCAACAACAATTATTTCCATTTTCCATTTTCCATTAATATGACTCCCCTCTGAATCATGAACAAACATGGCAGGAACCAAAAGCACTGGAGAAATCAGCTAGCTGTGGTCCCAAAATCCATGCTTACAAAATCCTTGGCAATTCTCCACAGATCTACTGTCTTTCTTGCCACAACTTCCTCTCTGGTCTACTATAATCCAAGCAAATTACACATGCCAGCTGTTACTTCTAGAGATAGCATGACCAAGCCAAAGGGACATAGAAAACAGCCATCAACATGGTGTCTGCAACCATCTTTGGTACCTTGTAGGGATGTGGGAAGCACATGAGAACCAGCAGGGCTGGGAAACATCTTTGTGTATCAACAATAGATTGGAAAGAACATCAGGAACTGCAGGAGTGGTAGGGAGCTCTGACGCCATTGAAATGTAGGACAGTCAAGTTTTTGATGTGAAACAATTTTGCTTCAACAACTAAGGATACATGCTTGTGATAATCAGGATTCTAAATGTCCTTGCTTTGGACACAAAAAAAGACTTGTTTCCAGAGTTGCAATATAACCCGTGAAACAGGGTCTTGCTCTGTTATCCAGGCTGGAGTGCAGTGTTGTGATCATAGCTCACTGCAGCCTTGAATTCCTAGGCTCGAGCGATCCTCCTGCCTCAGCTTCCTGAGCAGCTGGGACTACAGGCATGTACCACTATGACCCACAAATTTAGAAGAATTATTTGTAGACAGGGTCTAGCTATGTTGCCCAGGCTGGTCTCAAACTCCTGGGTTCAAATGATCCTCTTGCCTCAGCCTGCCAAAGGGCAGGGATTACAGTTGTGAGCCACCACACCCAGCCTAACCCCCATTAAATTGGAAAGTTAAAGATAAGATGCTAAGATGGCAGAGACAGGCAAGGTCAGGGGAAAATGTGTGTCAATTCATATTGCTAGGGGTTTCTATATTTTTACTAAAAAGTATTTGGTAGGACTAGTTTGATTTGTGTTTTTCTAAGTATCATCCTCATCCCCAGTCTAGGAATTTGTCTTCTTATGTGATTTCCTATAAATTTCTCTCTTAGTTCACGTCAGCAAACATTTATTGAGCATCTACTAGGTGCTAATGTTTTGGAAACAATGATAAGACAATTGCCTCTCCTTGAGTAGGCTGAATTCTATTAGGGAAGACAAACACAAAAAGAAGTTTTTATTGTTTTTTGTTTTTTGTTTTTTTCAGACGGAGTCTTGCTCTGTCACTAGGCTGGAGTACAGTGGTATGATCTCGGCTCACTGCAACCTCCGCCTCCTGGGTTCAAGAGATTCTGCTGCTTAGCTTCCTGAGTAACTGGGATTACAGGCCCGCCACCACGCCCAGCTAATTTTTGTATTTTTAGTAGAGACGGGGTTTCACCATGTTGGCCAGGATGGTCTTGATCTCTTGATCTCGTGATCCACCTGCCTCGGCCTCCCACAGTGCTGGGATTACAGGCGTGAGCCACCGCGCCTGGCGAAAAATAAATCATTTTGAAAATATAATAAAGAATTTAGATGACTATGGGAGTAGGACAAAGGAGAGGATAGACTTGGGAAAAACTTAGAAAGTAAAATTAGCAGGAGTTTTTCATTAATTAGATAGGGAGATGAAAGAAATAAGATGACTCTCAGGTTTGCAGCTTGGGAAACCAAGAGGATGTTTCACCAGGCCTCTGAAACTAGGAACCCAAGATGAGGAGCAGGTCCCAGAGGGAAGAACATGATAAGCACAGTTACAGATGCACTGAGTTTGAGGTATTCATGGGACTGCCAATTGTGGGGGACTTTCTACTGAAGGCCAACTTTCTCTTATTTCATTTCTCATTCTGATTTAAATGTTAAATGGTGTGATACAGTATTTATTGGCTGTTTCTTTATAAACTTGACAAAGACAAAGAAACATGTCTTATTCTTCTCTTTGTGCTCAACAAAACCTCCTCTCTGACCTGATATTGTCCGCAGTCTGCCTGTGACTCCAGGCATCTAGCTTGAAAGGAAATGGCTCTCACACAGCCTTCTTTCATCATTACCCATGAGCTGACTAAGCGGTGACTTAGAGAAGCACTATCTAATGAAAATGCATGACCACTTGGCAGGGCACGGTGGCTCACACCTGTAATCCCAGCACTTTGGGAGGCCAAAGTGGGCGGATCACCTGAGGTCAGGAGTCTGAAACCAGCATGGCCAACATGGCAAAACCCCATCTGTACTAAAAATACAAAAATTAGCTGGGCATGGTGGCGGGCACCTGTAATCCCAGTTACTCAGGAGTCTGAGGCAGGAGAATCGTTTGAATCTGGGAAGCAGAGGTTGCAGTGAGCTGAGATTGTGCCACTGCACTCCAGCCTGGGCAATAGTGTTAGTGAGACTCTGTCTTAAAAAAAATAAAGAAGAGGAAAAAAAATTGAAAAAAGAAAATGCACGACCACAATGGCCTCAGGAAAAGTAGTTTCACGAGGAAGAATTTTATATTTAGTTCTCCATGTGGAAACCCAATTTCCACATAAAATTTTTTTTAATTTGTCATTAAGCACTTAAAAACATTGCAGTTCATAAAATAAATATTGCAAGGACTGAGTTAAACAACAAAATTAGAAACAAAGAGCATCCGGCAACTAAATACAGAAGATTTTTAGAAGTTGCGATTTTATGATTCTATTCTGGTATCTATATTATATAATGCACCTCAGTCACGCTTCGAAAAAAGTTCAGAGATAAATTTAAAATAAGATAAAGTCCAATTCTGTAGATTTCCCCCAATGTATTGTTTATTAAAAGGTCATTTATTTTGATAATTTTGCTCAATAAAAATAGTTGTCCATTGAAGATGTTGAATTAAGAGTGTTTTCTATTGTTCTTTAAAATCTTGTTATTAAGCCTCATACAGTGTTAGTGGGATTATAAATTAGTACAACCATTATGGGGAACAGTTTGGAGGTTCCTCAAAAAACTATAAATAGAGCTGCCATATGATCCAGCAATCTTACTGCTGGGTATATACCCAAAAGAAAGGAAAACAGTACATCAAAGAGATATCTGCACTCCCGTGTCTGATGCAGCACTGTTCACAATTGCGAAGACCTGGAAGCAACCCAAGTGTCCATCAACAGATGAATGCATAAATAAAACATGGTGGCCGGGCACGGTGGCTCACGCCTGTAATCCCAGCACTCTGGGAGGCCAAGGCGGGTGGATCACGAGGTCAGAAGATCGAGACCATCCTGGATAACACAGTGAAATCCCGTCTCTACTAAAAAATACCAAAAAAAATTAGCCAGGCGTGGTGGCGGGCGCCTGTAGTCCCAGCTAATCAGGAGGCCGAGGCAGGAGAATGCCGTGAACCCGGGAGGCGGAGCTTGCAGTGAGCCGAGATCACGCCACTGCACTCCGGCCTGGGCGACAGAGCAAGACTCCATCTCAAAAAAAAAAAAAAAAAGAAAGAAAGAAAGAAAAGAAAACGTGGTACAGTAAAGATTTCTTAAGGTCAGCAACACAGTTTTAAAAGGTTCCTGTGGGTTGCCATGTCTGAATATTTACACACAGGGGTGTAAGCTGAAGAGAGAGGAGTAGCCTAAATGATGGAATAAGGACATGGATAGAACCAGCCCAGCCCATACCCACAGTGGGTAAGCCATCTGGAAGGTAAACTATCTTTAAACATTAACAGATGCATCTGGCCAGACAGACCCAAGTGGGCAGGGGCAGTACTCACGTGTGCACCATTTTCCAACAAGGCTTTGGCACAGGCCACATGACCTCCAAGGCATGCCTCGTGGAGAGAAGACACCCGGTTAATTGTCACGAGGTTCACATTGACACCCTATAATATAGAAAGAACAGAGTTTATTTGTTTTTTAGAGACTGTGGTCTCACTATGTTGCCCAGGTTGGTCTCAAACTCCTGGCCTCAACTAATCTTCCTGCCTCAGCATCCTGAGTAGCTGGGATTTCAAGTGCAAGCCAGCAAGCCCAGCGGAAGAGAGTGAAATGCTGCATTAGTGATAGCGATGAAAGCAATGTTGTTTCACATGTTTCTGACATTTTCAGAGTCTGTGGGTGTAATGTTAGCACCATAGAGAGAGAAGTAGAAGTTACAATCAAGGGAGCCTAAACACAGCATGAGAGTTTCACATTTATTTATCCAAGAAAATGTTAATTCCACATTCTGAAGCAGGTAATGTACTAGGACCTGGGTCTTCAAAACTTATGACGTGTCTCTCTCTTCTCCCAGAGCCTACTGGGGAGGCAGAAATGAAAGACAAAAGAGCAAGAATATTGCTATACTGGAAGCATGTTCGAAATTCATTTGGGAGCATAGGATATCCTGGAATCTGGCTTGGGCAGTAAGAAAAACTTCGCAAATGAGGTAGTATTTAGCTAAGACTTGAAGCATAAAATGTTTCAAGCTGTGAAGACCAAGAAAGAGTATGCCATTAGGAAAGAATAGAAACTGCAAATTCAGCTTCCTGTTGCTTCCTGTGGCAGGGCCACAGTTGGATTTCTGGAACAGAAAGAACCCACAGAAATAGGAAGCAGGAGATGGGAGGAGATGAAGGAGGACAGTAAGCTGGAGCGAGGTCATGAAAGGCCTTGATTTCCAAGCAAGGAGTGCATGTCTTAGAGGAAATGGAGCACCTATGAAGTCTGCTAGGCTGCAGAGGGTCTGGAGCTAATAGATTAGCCCTTTTAGAAGCCTACTGGTAGCAGCGTGGAGGGTTGATCGCAGGAGTAGGGATGTAAGATCAAAGCAAGGAGAGCCACAGAGATGTCACTATGAGTCTAGGAACAGGCTGGCATGGGCCTGCTGTGGGTGTGAATAACAGTAGGTATGAGGTATAGATGATGGAGTGCAGACAAGTTCAGGAGGTCGAACTGGATCTGGAACAAAACAATAACTCCCAGGCTTAAGAGTAAGTAGACTGTGCTCCTAGGATTCATGTGCTGTGTAGTGGCAGCACTGCTTTGGCCATGACTCCACTGTGTGCAGAGGTCCCTGAAGTCCTAGAGTCTGGGGCCAGCGGACTTCTCCTAACCTTCATTTCCTCACCCAGGTATGAGTGTTTCCACCCCGTCCTAACACATTCTCCCTCCCCATACTACCATGTGTCCCCTTCCTTGTCCTGGACTCCATGTGACAGATGACAAGGTCAGCCTAGCTGCTGGACAACTCTGACTTCATAACCTGATTTTAATAACTTGACTCTTACCATTTCCCTCCCTCTGATGATCACTTTCTATCTGCTAAAGTGTTGACAAAAACAGTCAAACTCTGTAAAATATTTGAAGAGATTTATTCTGAGCCAAATATAAGGGACCAATGGCCTGTGACAAGCTCTCAGGAGATCCGGAGAACATGTGCCCGGGGTAGTCAGGGCACAGCCTAGTTTTATGCATTTTAGGGAGACATGCAACCTCAATCAAACCCATGTAAAATGTGCATTTGTTTGGCCTGGGAAGGTTGGACAACTCAAAGTGGGGGCCTGGGGCTCCAGATTATAGACAGATTGAAAATTTTTCTGATTGGCAGTTGGTTGAAAGAGTTATTATCAATAGAAATGTATGTCTGGGTTATGATAAGGGGTTGTGGAGACCAAAGTTTTATTATGTGAATGAAGCCTCCAGGTAGCAGGCTTCAGAGAGAATAGATTGTAAATGTTTCTTATCAGACTTAAGATCTGTGTTGATGTTAAATTCTGCTCATCTTTTCCTGAGTTCCAAAAGGGAGGAGGGTACAATGAGGCATGTTCAACCCTCCTTTCCTGTCATGGCCTGAACCAATTTTTCAGGTTAGTTTTGGAATGCCCTGGCTGAGAGGAGGGGTACATTCAGATGGTTTCGGGGGTGGGGGCCGTGCTTAGAATTTTATTTTTGATTTATAAAAGGAATTAGGTCCCTGGTCTGTCCTTCCCAGCTGAGTCCTGCTTTTGATCCTCTGCCTTGTAACTGACCAACTGAAAGCTTCCAAAACCCAATGCCATGACCCTGAACCCCAAACTCCAACTTACACGCCCACCATCTCCTGCCACATCTCTGGCTGCATCCTTACTGTGGCCAGCAGCTGCGATTTCCCATAACTGTCTGTCCCTTCATCATAAGGCATCTTTTTGACTCCTGAATTCTGTCTATTTTCATGTCCTGAATATGACGTCATTGCTCTAGATCTGTGCTACATATTTCAAACTGGGCATCTAGTAAGAGTTAGAAAAGGTCTTTTCATTTTTGTTTTCCTTTTGAGAAAACAAGAAAAAACATACTAGTCCACAAGGTGGCAGAAGTGTGCTAGAAAAAACTTTGTTATGGCACAAAATCTCAGAATCCCTAAAATTGTAGAAACGTAAGGCTGGACGGGCCTGAAAGATCATCTAGAGTAGATCACCTCAACTGTGCATGAGAAAATGGAGAAGCAGAATGTTCAAATACTTTTTAAGACTGGTTGTCAGTGACAGCCAGCAGTGTAACCAAGAGCTCCTGAATCTTGGTTTAATGTTTTACTCACATTTACTCACAGTGGCTTAATGTTTTACTCACATAGGCTTAATGTTTTACTCACATCGGCTTAAAGTTTTACTCACATCGACCATATTATCTAAATGTAAAATAAAGTTTATAAAAGTAGACAAATACATTTTTTAACAGCGTATAAGGGTAAAAAAGTAGGGGTATAAAAGGAAAAAGTTGAACTTTTCTATAAAGAATGCCCCTTACACATTTAATCATATTATTGAAGCTAATATGCTTATTAAGTATAATTAGTGCAATGTGGGATCCTGGAACAGAAATAGGACATGAGAGGAAAAACTGGTGAAATCCCAATAGTGAGCAGTTTAGTCAGTGGTATTGTATCAATGTTAACTTCTTATTTTTGACTAATGTACCATAGCTATATAAGATGTCGATATTAAAGGAAGTTGGGTGAAGGGTACAGTGTATATGGGAATGCTCTGTATCCTTTTCAACTCTTCTTTAAAATTATCCAAAAATTTAAAAAGCCCATTGAAAATACACCAATGAAAGTATTGAGGTGGGAGACTGAGAGAGAAGAGGTGGGTGCAAGACGTTTCATTGTGCACCTTTTTAGTTTTATTTATTTATTTTTGAGACAGAGTTTCACTCCTTCACCCAGGCTGGAGTGAAGTGGCACGATCTCGGCTCACTGCAACCTCCACCCCTCACAGGTTCAAACGATTTTCCTGCCTCAGCCTCCCAAGTAGCTGGGATTATAGGCGCCCACCACCACACCCGGCTAATTTTTGTACTTTTAGTAGAGACGGGGTTTCACCATGTTGCCCAGGCTGGTCTCGAACTCCTGACCTCAGGTGATCCACCCACTTCAGCCTCCTAAAGTGCTAGGATTACAGGCGCGAGCCACCACATCCGGTCAGTCCACCTTTTTAGATAATTTTAAGTTTTGAACTATGTGAATATATTACATATTAAAAATAAATCACATCAAATTTAAAGTACTTAAAAATAAATAAGCAAGTGATAAAATCAGGTACAAAGTTCATTTGATCATTGCTGGCAGTGCTGATTTCCATTTGCCTCTACTTTTTAAGAAGTAACACAACTCATAAAGGAGAGAAATCAAAAAACAAATAAATGAAAAATACATACAAATGCACAGAGAGAGAGAGAGTGAGAGAGAAAGAGAAAGAGAGAGAGAGAAAAAGAGAAAGAGAGAGCGAGCAGTGTACCCAGCTGTTTAAATTCAAAGTAGCAAGAAAGCCAGATGATTGCCAAGTTGTGGAAGAAAGAGGTGATGGCTTACCTCCTCTGTGTAAATGTAGACCCTAAAACATACAAAGCAAATGGAGCCTGCACACTTTCATTCATTCATTTCACAAATACTTACTAGGCCCCTATTCATTGTTCAAGGTGCTGGGGATGTAGTCATAAATATAAATAAAGTAGCCTTCATAGCTAAGACGTCAATAAATGTTCCCTAGGGAGTCAGATTTAGCCATTGTCAACCTATTTTAATGTGCGTTCTTAAAATAGTGTATCATTGGGATAGGCAGTCTCTAAGACAGCACCCAGTAATCCTGGAATCCAGGCGTTGGCTCCCTTGCATAATCCCTTCCCCTTGAGTGTAGGCGGGACTTGTTGACTCACACCTAATGAGTAGAATATGGCAGAAGTGACAGAATGTCATTTTGGAGATGAGGTTATAAAACAACTGTGACTTCCTTCTTAGGTGCCTCTTGCACTCTCTCTGGGGGAAGCCAGCTGCCATCTCATGACACAGCCCTGTGGAGAGGCTCATGTGGCAACGAATTGAGGTTTCCCAACAACTACATGAGTGAGTTTGAAAGCAGATCCTGCCCCACTTGAGCCATGAGATGACTGCAGCCCTGGCTGACACGTGGCAGCCTGTGAGAGACCCAGAGCCAGAATCACCTAGCTAAATGCTCCCTGGCCCACAGAAACCATGAAAATCCAAGTATCTGTTGTTTTCAGCCAGTATGCTTTGAGGTCATTTGTTAGGCAGCAATGGCTGACTAACTTAACTTCAGGACTGCTGGTGCTAATGCATGCTGGAAGAGCATGAGGTGAGTTAGTGCAACAAACATTTGAGAGCATCCTCTATCATCCCTCATAGGGAAACTTCTTATGAGGTAAAGGAAGACCCAGAGGAAAAGAAGGGAACTGGGCAGAAAATGAAGGAGCTCTCCAGGGAAGGAGAGGCAGGAGGAATAAATGGTGAGGTATGAGAGGGCATACGTACCTAGAATGGCAATAATGGGACCTGGATAGGGTGAGCCACACCTCTGCTACAGCCAAAGCTAATAAAGAATGATGTGTAATTATAGCATAAGCATGAAGGATCAAGTCTTCGATTCACTTACTTGTGCAATTAAAGTTTTAAGGGCCAGTAAGCGCCCCTGAGCTGCAGCTTCATGAAGTGGGGATCGATCAGCCCAGCAATCTGAAACACAAATCAAGCTCAAAGTCAAGGCCTGGAGACTTCTTCCTGCAACTTGTCCATGCTGCCCATCCACTGTGAGAGGAGGTTTGGGGGAAGAGGAGGGAAGAGGAGGAAAGCAGGTACCATGCATCAGGCTCTCTCGTCGGCCACTTTCAGGGAGGCAAGCTACTGAATGTAAAGTCCTTTACGGTTTGGTGGTGTGTGCCAAGAGAAGGAACAGTCAATCTCTCTGGCTTTTGGGGGGCAATTTTAATAAGCAATAGATTTAGTTCAAAAATATAGTGCCCATTGCTTGAATCCGATAGCTCTACATAAGGCAAAATGAAGGGCCAAGAAGGTCAATGAGCTTCCACATTTTATCCTTTCCTTGCCTTCCACTTTTACCCCACCCCAAAGACCCAATAGCCTGTGTATTATGAAGGAGACTCTAAGACAGGGGTCTTATGCAGAATGTCATTTTTCAGGCAATGTAATCTTCCAAAAGGTTTTCCCTAAAAACTTTGTTGTGGGCAGCTTAGTGTGATGACTGAGCATGGGCCAGTGGAGCCAGACTGCTATGGTTCAAGTCCTATCTTGATCACTTTCTCTGCCAAATTCAGCAAGTTACCACAATTATTTGAACCCCGGTTTCCTTACTGGTAAAATGGAAAAATAATAATCTGATATTTGTCAAGTGCATTGGTCTCTAAGTAGGCCAATCAAATACAATCATGATGTTAGGTGCTCCAGACATTGTATGATTAATAAGTAGGCACAGTAGAGCAGTGCCCTAAGGAACAGCCTTAGAACTGCCTTCCAGACATATTTTTCTTATAATTGTTTGTCTGCAAACAAGACTAACTAGTTTAAATGAGCATTTGAGAAGTAACCCCCCATTAAACCTGCCAAAGGGCAATCAATTGTTTTGGAAGAAAACCTACTCCAGTTGGCAAAATGTGGGACTTTTTCACATTATGGTTGTGCTTTTCATGCACTGAATAGAATGTAATATAATTTGGATTTAACACAAAGGCTCCTCAGCCTCTTGTGGGTGATCCTGACGGTGTTAAGAACTCGCATTTCCATACCTGTAAACTTGGTGACATGAAAATCCCAGCAAAAATTGAATTTTGTGAATTTGAAATAACTGAAGGCCTTAAGGAAAGAAAGAATTTTTCCAGTGGATGAGAATCAGGGTTAGAAACATTTCAATACGCCCTTTTCCTACACTGAAACTCAGTGTATGAACTTCTCTGACCCTTTGGGTTCTGAAAATGGGGAAAACTTGAATGCACTTTACGGGGTTGGATTGATATTGGAGCAATTGGCATGAAAATGTGATTTTCAATATATCTAGATATAAAAGTAAATTTAAATGTAAAACATAGATGTGTGTATATACATATTTTTTTAGCATGGCGCACTGAGAAAACCTGAACCAGGACTCCTTAGAGAAATGTTGATCCCAGATCTGGGCCAGGTAAAATATAAGATGGGCCTTAAATATCTTGCAAGAAAGAAAGAAAGTGCCGACCAGGCTCACTGTAATACCAGCACTTTGGGAGGCTGAGGCGGGTGGATCATGAGGTTAGGAGTTTGAGACCAGCCTGGCCAACATGGTGAAACCCTGTCTCTGATAAAAACACAAAAATTAGCCAGGCGTGGTGGCGTGCGCCTGTAGTGCCAGCTACTCAGGAGGCTGAGGCAGAAGAATCGCTTGAACCTGGAGGCAGAGGTTGCAGTGAGCTGAGATTATGCCACTGTACTCTAACCTGGGTGACAAAAAGACATAGATGCTGGCTTGATGGGGCTTCCACTGGCCAAATATGGGGCAACCTGAGTATCAAAATAAACAATGAGATAAGAGATTATATCCTATCAAATAAAATGGTAATCTAGAAGTCCTCACTGATATAAATGAATATATAAAGACAGAGAAGAGAAAGTGATTCCTTATAATAAAATTCCAACTTAGAAATTGAAGAAATAATAGAATCAGCTTCAACTCATTTCCCTGCAAAATAATTACTAACTAGGAAAGGAACAGGGGTAATTTTATAGAACAGAATTGTAGACATCACTTTGCCCAAGTGATCAAAGTTAACATCAGCAGTGATCAAAGTTAACATGGGTGATGGAACAGATTGTCATCTGATGGAATGCGATGAGCAACATCATGTGCCATAAGAAGAAACATAATGAGAAGGACACACCACCGCTTCTGTGACATTTCTGCCCAAAATGCATAACCAAAATCTGATAAGGAGGAAACTGTGCACCAACCCAAACTGAGGGCACATTTTGCAAAATAATTGAAGAGACTGAGGAACAGTTTCACATGAAAGGGATGAAGAAATGCACTATCTAAAGGCATCACACCTGATCCTTTTGCTATAAAGGACATTATTAGGACAGTTGGAGTCTCTGGGCAAAGAGAAGCAGGAAATTTTTTGTACTGTTCTTGTAACTTTTCTGTCGGTTGAAATTAGTTCCAAACATTTTAACAAAAAAAAAAAGATAGATAGATAGACGATAGATAGATAGATAGATAGATAGATAGATAGATAGATAGATAGAATCACTGGTGATCCCATACTCCTGATATGAATGTGTATTGCTTTTTATAATAACAAAGAAAAATAGATTTTAAAAATCCCAAGAAAATAATTATATGTAATAGACATCATCAATTTTATTTATTTTTTTTTAACTTTTATCTTAAGTTCAGGGGTACATGTGCAGGATGTGCAGGTTTGTTCCATAGGTAAACTTGTGCCATGGGGGTTTGTTTTACAGAGTATTTCATCACCCAGGTATTAAGCCTAGTATCGTTTAGTTATTTTTCCTGATCCTCTCCCTCCTCCTACTCTCCACCCTCTGATAGGCCCCAGTGTGTGTTGTTCCCCTCTATGTGTCCGTGTGTTCTCATCATTTAGTTCCCGCTTATAAGTGAGAACACGTGGCATTTGGTTTTCTGTTCCTGTTAGTTTTCTAAGGATAATCGCCTTCAGCTCCATCCATGTCTCTGCAAAGGACATGATCTCATTCTTTTTTATGACTGCATAGTATTGCATAATGTATATGTACCACATTTTCTGTATCCAGTCTGTCATTGATGGGCATTTGGGTTGAGTTCATGTCTTTGCTACTGTGAATAGTGCTGTAATGAACATATGTATGCATGTGTCTTTCTAACAGAACAATTCATATCCCTTTAGGTATATACCTAGTAATGGGATTGCTGGGTCGAATGGTATTTCAAAAACAGATAAAAATTTTTAACATGAGCATATATTGCATTTGTATTTACCCTTGTCTTTAGTTGGTTGAAAGTTGACAAGTAGAATATTTTAAAATCTCTTTGAGGCCAGGCACGGTGGCTAACGCTGTAATCCCAGCACTTTGGGAGGCTGAGGCAGGTGGATCACCTGAGGTCAGGAGTTCGAAACCAGCCTGGCCAACATGAAACCCCATCTCTACTAAAAATACAAAAATTAGCCGGGCACAGTGGTAGGTGCCTGTAATCCCAGCTACTCGGGAGGCTGAGGCAGGAGAATCACTTGAACCTGGGAGATGGAGGTTGCAGTGAGCCAAGATCGCACCATTTGCACTCCAGCCTGGGTGACACAGTGACACTCCATCTCAAAAAAAAAAAAAAAAAAAAAAAAAAACCCACTTTGGATATTTATAATTTGCATAAACTGGAAATAATGAGACAATGTATGAATATAATTATCAATTAGTGAGGCTTTTCCTCTAATACAATATGAAATATATTTCAGACACGTTATGCTCTTGCCTAATTGCTCTTAGAAGTGAACGCAGACACTGGGGTTGATTGGACAGTCTTCACCCATGGCTGCCAACTCCGCACCCTGACCAATGGAAGAGGCAAACCCATAAGTATGGCTTTGTCATTTCATTGTTCTGACAATAGCCAGTCAACCTGAGTCACTTGAAGGTACTGTAAGTATTCCATTTAAAAATAAAAACAAGATTTAAATGGCAACTTGCAGTTAAAAGAGTTAACTTAGGTTATCAACACGAATGTTTTCATTATTTCTTTTTTTTTTTTTTTATACTTTAAGTTCTAGGGTACATGTGGATAACGTGCAGGTTTGTTACATATGTATACCTGTGCCATGTTGGCGTGCTGCACCCATCAACTCGTCAGCACCCATCAACTCGTCATTTACATCAGGTATAACTCCCAATGCAATCCCTCCTCCCTCCCCCTTCCCCATGATAGGCCCCAGTGTGTGATGTTCCCCTTCCCGAGTCCAAGTGATATTGTTCAGTTCCCACCTATGAGTGAGAACATGCGGTGTTTGGTTTTCTGTTCTTGCGATAGTTTGCTGAGAATGATGGTTTCCAGCTGCATCCATGTCCCTACAAAGGACACAAACTCATCCTTTTTTATGGCTGCATAGTATTCCATGGTGTATATGTGCCACATTTTCTTAATCCAGTCTGTCACTGATGGACATTTGGGTTGATTCCAAGTCTTTGCTATTGTGAATAGTGCCACAATAAACATACGTGTGCATGTGTCTTTATAGCAGCATGATTTATAATCCTTTGGGTATATACCCAGTAATGGGATGGCTGGGTCGTATGGTACTTCTAGTTCTAGATCCTTGAGGAATCGCCATACTGTTTTCCATAATGGTTGAACTAGTTTACAATCCCACCAACAGTGTAAAAGTGTTCCTATTTCTCCACATCCTCTCCAGCACCTGTTGTTTCCTGACTTTTTAATGATTGCCATTCTAACTGGTGTGAGATGGTATCCCATTGTGGTTTTGATTTGCATTTCTCTGATGGCCAGTGATGATGAGCATTTTTTCATGTGTCTGTTGGCTGTATGAATGTCTTCTTTTGAGAACTGTCTGTTCATATCCTTTGCCCACTTTTCGATGGGGTTGTAAATTTGTTTGAGTTCTTTGTAGGTTCTAGATATTAGCCCTTTGTCAGATGAGTAGATTGCAAAAATTTTCTCCCATTCTGTAGGTTGCCTGTTC